CAGGGTCACAAATGTTTTTACGGTCACTTTTGATCAATTTAATGCATCCTTGCTGAATAATAACATTAACTTATTTAAAAACAAAACTTGCTGCTTCACACATGAGACTTTAGATTTCATTTTAAAATCAAGTCACTACTGTATGAACATTACAGGCATGCCTTCAAAATAGTAGCACACTAAAATAGAAAGCTGACTGCATAGTAAATGACCGTTACAAATGTGCAACAGGTTTATTTCTCCTTACACATAGTAACAGCTGGAGAACTATGTTTGAACAAGCGCTCATGTCGTGCTGGTTCCCGTCCTGCACGTTTATTTGCTCCAGCTGACTTCTCTTATCTGTCAGTTTACTGACGGCTGTGGAATGAATGTCTTGATGCAGGATAACAGCAGTCAGGTCAGAGTCTCTGGATCTCTCACACGCATTAGATGAATCTGACAATGGCATGTGTTTGGAAAATTATTCTTCTCAACATTTTCATCGTCTCTGGTAGAAGTAACGTGATGAAAGGTATGTCCTTAAATGCTTTGAGTTGCTTTGGCTAAGATAAACGACTGTATACTGCACATCTTTTAAAAAGCAATATGAAGTACACTGAAGAGCAGAGCCTTTCAGCAGTGTAACGCCTTTATGAATTCACTAGAGCTTGAGAATGTGTCGTTTTTAGCACGGAAGACATAAAGCTGATATGAAGGCAGTGTGAAGCCAAAAGCGAAAAGAACAGCTAGTTATGTAACTGTTAGTCAGTACAAAAAGGCAGAATGACTCCCATATGCTGTGGACACATGGTCAACAAATATTGTGCTGTTGTTATTTATTACAATATTTTTTTATGAAATAATGTATTAGTAGTAGCATACAAAATTGTTTTCCAATTTACATTTATGATTTTTTTTCTACAAAGTGACTTAAAGCAGAGGAACTGGTTTGCAAAAGCAGAAGCATTTAATCTTGTTTGATCTCAATTTAACTGTGAAGCTTAAAATGCTTCATAGTTTATTAGTGGAGTAACACACACACACATAAATTAAGACAATTTACATGTGTAGATGGATGGATGGATGGATGGATGGATGGATAGATGGATAGACAGATAGATAGACAGATGACAGACGGATAGATAGATAGATAGACAGACGGATAGATGGATGGATGGATAAATAGATAGATAGATAGATAGATAGATAGATA